ATACTATAAGCTTCCTTCTTGAATTTTCTAAATTATGTTTGATGGTTGAAGCAAAAACCATAACATTGCCTGATACTCTAAATGTATATAAATGAAATAATGTAATGATATTATAAACAGGGAAGGATAAAAGGAGGTGATATTTCTGCACTTCACTTGAACTGATAAAATGATAGCAATAGGGGGCACCTGGATGGCTCAGTCAGTTGAGTGTGTGACTCTTGGTTTCAGCTCAGGTCATAATCTCATGGGTCATCTGATCGAGCCCCACATAGGGCTCAGTGCTCCATGGTGAGTCTGCTTGATGATTCTCTCCCTCTGTCCCTCCCCCCTACTCATGTGCACACACTCTCAAATAAATAAACCTTTAAAAAGATGATAGCAGTAGAATTTGATAGGTCATGTATATATGATACCAATAGCAACCAATAAAAATCTGCATAGATACACTCAAAAATACTATAGATAAATCAAAATTGGATTCCAAAAAATGCTCAAGTAACCCACAGGAAAAATGGAAAAAGAAAACAAATGAAAAACAAACATGGCAGACTTGAGCAACAGTAACATTAAATATAAATGCTATAAATACACCAATCAAAAAACTGACAGTGGATTTAAAAACATGAGCCAACTATATGCTATCTATAAGAAACTCATCTCAAATAGAATGATCTAGGAAGGTTGAATGGGAAAGAATGGAAAGATATATCATGCAAATACTAATCAAATGAAGCATGTGTGGTTATATTAATATCATATAGACTTCACAGCAGAAAAAATTACAAGAGACATTGTGTAATGATAAAAGGTTAATCCACCAAGAAGATAAAGCAATCCTAAATGTGTATGCACCAAACAACAGAGCTGCAAAATACGTGAAGCAGACTAATAAACTGAAAGTAGAAATAGACAAATCCACAATTTTAGTTACGGGCTTCAACACATCTCTTTCAACAATTGATAGAATAGCTAAATAGAAAATCAGCATGGATATAGAAGAACTCAACAATATTGTCAACCAAGAGGATGCCATTGACATTTGTTGAACACCCCACCCCAGCACAGCAGAATACAATTTCTTTTTAAGTGACCAGGGTAGACCATATCCTGGGCCGTAAAATAAAGCTCAACAAATTTAAGAGAGTCGAGATCATGCAGAGTGTGTCCTCCAGCCACGATACAGTCAAACTAGAAACTAGTAATAGATAACAGGAAAATCTCCAAACATGTGAAAACTAAACCATATATTTAAAATAATTCATGAGTCAAAAGGAAGTCTTGAGGGAAATTAAAAAGAAATACGTATTTGTAGGACTGATGACAAATATATAACATCAAAATTCATGGGACATCGCTAAAGCAGTGTTAAAAGGAGAGTTTATAGTTCTAAGTTTATGCATTCAAAAAGAAAGTCTCAAGTTAATAATCCAAGTTCCCACTTGGAAAACAGAAAAGGGGGTGGGGTAGCAAGTAGAAGGAAGAAATAAAATGAAATTAAAACAGAAATCAATGAAATTAAAAACAGGAAAGCAAAAGGGAAAATCAGTGAAAGAACTGGTTCTTTGAAAAGTCAGTAAAATTGACAAACCTATAGCAAGAGAAAAGACACATAATCACATCAAAAATGAAATATCACTACAGACCCTTCAGACAAAAAAAGGAAATACCACACACAGTTTTGTACATATAAACTCAACAAATCCGGTGAAAGTGGTCTCTTCTCAAAAAACACAACCTGTCCAATTTGAAATCGATACTTTGAAGAGCCCTATAACTATTAAGGAAATTTGAGTTTATAATTTAAAATCTCTCAACAAAAAAATCCTTCAGGCCCTGATGGTTTCACTGGAGAATTCTACCAAACATGTAATGAAGAGCACAAATTGTGCCCTGTATCCTTTGGAAAATAGAAGGGAGCTTCCCAGCTGGTTTATGAGGCCGGTACACCCTTCACCAAAACCAGACAAAGCACAAACAACAGCAACAAAAATTATAGATCAAATCCCTCACAAATATAGCCACAAAAATCCTTAACCACGTATTGGCAAATTGAATCCAACAGTGTATAAAAAGCATTAAACAGGCACCTGGGTGGCACAGTTGGTTGGGCATCTGACTCTTGGTTTTGGCTCAGGTCCTAATCTCATGGTTGTGGGATAGAGCCCCGAGTTGGGCTCTTAAGATTCTCTCTCCCGGGGCGCCTGGGTGGCTCAGTTGGGTAAGTGGCTGCCTTCGGCTCAGGTCATGATCCCGGGTTCCTGGGATCGAGCCCCGCGTCGGGCTCCCGGCTCATTGGGGAGTCTGCTTCTCCCTCTCCCTCTGCCTGCCTCTCTGCCTACTTGTGCTCTCTCTCTATCTCTCTGTCAAATAAATAAATAAAATCTTAAAAAAAAAAAATTCTCTCTCCCTCTCCCCCTTGTGCTCTCTCTCTCTTTCTCTCAAATAAATGAATAAATCTTTTCAAAAAAAGAAGCATTAAACACCATGACCGAGAGGGTTATGTTCTAGAGATGGAAAGCAAGTTCAATATTCAAAAATCAGTGTAATACCCTACTTTAACAAGCTAAAGAAGAAAAATCATGTGATCATATCAGCTGATGCAGAAAAAGCACTTGACAAAATTCAAGATCCATTTATGATAAAAGTTCTCAGCAGGCTGGGAATGGACAGAAACTTGATTAAAAGCATTGACGGAATCTCTACAGCCAGCATCCCATCCAGTGGTGAAGGATTGGCTATGTCTACCCCACGACTGAGAACGAGGCATGGATCTCTGCTGTCGCCTCTCTGAGGCAACCTTGTGCTAAACTTCCCAGCTAGTGGAATAAGCAAGAAAAGAAAAGGCATACAGACTAGAAAGGAAGAAACAAAACTCCCCATTTTCAGATGACAGGGTTGTATGTGTAGACAATGCCAAAGACTTCAAAAAACCTAGAACAAGTGAGTTCAGCAAGGCAGAGGACACAAGATTAGTGCCCCCAAATCAGCTATTTCATTTAATAGCAATGAACACATAGATACCAAAATTAAACATACAATACCATCGGCAATTGCTCAAAACAAGAAGGAATATGTAGGTATTAATCCAAGAGAACACTTGTGGACTCGCGTGCTGAAAGCTGCATGTTGGTGAGGACAGCACTGAAGGATCCCAGGAAATGGAGACAGGTTATGTTCATCGGTTGGGAGACTCAGCCACTAAAGATGCCAATTCTCCCCAAGTTGATACACAGGTGTAACTCCTATCGAGATCCAGCAAGATGTTTGTGTAGATACAGACGTTTGTAAAATTTATATAGAAAGGCAAAGGAAGTGTGATATTTTCTTCCGTATTTTGAATAGTTTTAAAAAATGTGTTTTTTGAAAACTATGTTTGAAAAAGAGCAATAAAGTGAACAACTCCATGTACTCGGTTCCAAGGCATGTTACCTGTTGTAGGTCTTACGTACAGTAATGGAGACAGAGTGGTGGGGGTGGAGGGACCGGAACAGCCCAGACCACACCAACCTGCCCACTGTGTCCCCAGGCAGCTCCGGAGACACGCGGTCTCGGCCCCAGCCTGGGCCACTGAAGCAGAGTCTATTTTGGCAAGATCTCTGGGCGATTGGTGGGGCCGGCACCCCTGGGAAGCGCGGACTGAGGGCACACTGCGGGCAGTGCTGGTGGAGGCTACAGCAAACCCCAGCCTCTGTCCCGTGAACCCTGACGGGTAGGCAGGAAGGGCTTGAGAAGACTGGCTGCTCAGACAGCAGGTTCTCCCTTGGCCTCCCCTGCCTTCTGCCCACACCCACTGCAGAACCTCCCTGCCTCCCAGACACCCTCTTCTCCCAGGAGGAACATGGGGTGGGCTGGTCTTCCCGCCTCTTCTGGCTCCTGCATTCTTATTTCTGTGACCTCTCACTTCCTCCCCTCTTTAAACTATAACCAGCCTCCGTCACTTCCTTTTCTTCCCCACACATTTACTGAGCACCTGCTGTGTACTAGACAGACAAGACCATGTCTGTGTGAATCTGACATTTCTGTTGGTCCTGGCATCCCCAGATGTCCCCCGGGTGTGTCCCCCGGGGGGGTCCCCCCAGGGTGTGCCCCAGATGTGTCTCCCCAGGTGGTTCCCCCAGGTGTGTCTCCCCAGGTGTGTGCCCCAGGTGTGTCCCAGGCCTCTTCACTCCCCTCTCACTCCTGTTTCTCTCTGTTTGGGGCCTCAGCCCTGGGTGTAGCTGGGGGTCTCCTGCCTCAGTCCTAACTTAACCTGAAGCTTCTCCAGGCATTTATGCTTTGCTGGCACAGCCCAGGAGAGGGGAGGGAGCCAATGTGGAGCTGATCCCTCGGCAGGTGCTGGGGTTACCTTAGGTCCCCAGTGCGGGCAGGTGACCTGAGGGCAGGCTACTGTCAGTGTCAGGCCAGGTCCCCACATACTAACTAGTCCCCAGCCAGTGGTTTCACCCTCGGACACCCCAGGAAGCTGTTCACTATGCGGTTTTTTCTCTCTGAATTCCTGTTATCAGCTGTTTTTCCTCCCACTTGGAATTTTTTTAAGACAAAAATGAAATATAGTGGGAAAGCCCCCAGCGATCTTTATTAAGTTGGGGTTTCTCCTGGGCCCCTCTGCCTTCTGTTTGGCCTCCCGCTCCTGCAAGGGAGCAAGCAGGTGTCCTGTCTGCCGGGGCTGGGGGCCTGACGGGAGACTTGAGGGAGATGCTTCGGGGTCTGGAGTTTGTCCTTCCCGGTGGGCCCTGAGGAGGAAGCGGCAGGGAGGAGGGGCCGTCTAATCCTCCTGGAAGCAGCTTAGGGGATTGTCTTTTTTTGGCACCTGCTCTGTGACCCTGGGCTGGGATTTGGCCAGAGCTGTGTCAGCTGGTTTCCCTGGGCTCCCGGCGTGGCCTCCAGTCACCCTCGCACCTGCTGGGACGCCTGCTGTCTGGGGAGGGCAGGGGGCACGGGCCTGGGGTGGCAGGTCAGGCCTCTCATGCCTGACGCAGCGGGAGGCCAGCACCAGGATGGATTTCGGTTCCCTGGAGACGGTGGTGGCCAACTCGGCCTTCATTGCCGCCCGGGGCAGCTTCGACGGGAGCAGTGGCCCATCTTCTCGGGACAGGAAGTACCTGGCCAAGCTCAAGTTGCCCCCACTGTCCAAGTGTGAGGGCCTCCGGGAGAGCCTGGACCTGGCGTTCCCGAGTGTGTGCTCAGAGCAGCCCATCGGCAAGCGGCTGTTCCAGCAGTTCCTGGGGGCTGACGAGAGGCACATGCCGGCTCTGGAGCTCTGGAAGGACATCGAGGACTATGACACGGCAGATGATGACCTCCGGCCACAGAAAGCCCGGGCCATCCTGGCCGGGTACCTGGACCCCCAGGCCAAGCTCTTCTGCAGCTTCCTGGACGAGGGGATAGTGGCGAAGGCCCGGGAGGGGCCTGTGGCGAGAGGGGATGGGCTCTTCCAGCCCCTGCTTCAGGCCACCCTCGCGCACCTGAGCCAGGCACCCTTCCAGGAGTACCTGGGCAGTCTGTACTTCCAGAGGTTCCTGCAGTGGAAGTGGCTGGAGGCCCAGCCGACGGGCGAGGACTGGTTCCTAGACTTCAGGGTCCTAGGGAAAGGTGGCTTCGGGGAGGTGTCCGCCTGCCAGATGAAGGCCACCGGCAAGCTGTATGCGTGCAAGAAGCTCAACAAGAAGAGACTCAAGAAAAGGAAGGGGTACCAGGTGGGCAGCCAGCCATTCACGATGGTGGGAGGGCCATCGGGGGCCACGTCCAGCCCCACACGGTGCCCTTCATGGGCTGGCTCCTTGGCCCTGGGGACACCGGGCCCCTCCCATTGGGCAGCCTTCTCATCCTGAGCTGATGATCTGGCCCGCGGGGCATGGAGGGGGCAGTCCACAGCTCTGCGCGCCCCCCGGCCCCCGGCCTGGCTCTGCACACACACGGGGTTTGCCCCTCCTCGGAGGCGGCCTCTGTGTTTGTTGGTGTGGGTGGTACTGCACATCCCACCAGATTTCTTCTTTTTTTAGAGATTTATTTATTTTTAAAGATTTTATTTGAGAGAGAAAGAGAGGGAGAGCGCACAAGTAGGGGAGTGGGAGAGGGAGAAGCAATCTCCCTGCCAAGCAGGGAGCCCAATGCAGGACTCGATCCCAGGACCCTGAGATCATGACCTGAGCCGAAGGCAGACGCTTCAACAACTGAGCCCCCAGGCGTCCCTAAAGATTTATTTTGGAGAGAGCGCATGCGAGCAGGGGAGGAGGGGCAGAGGGGCAGAGAGTCTTAAGCAGACTCCGCACTGAGCACAGAGCCTGATGCGGGGCTCAATCCCACGACCCTGAGCATGAGCTGAGCCGAAACCAAGACTCGGATGCTCAACCGACTGAGCCATGCAGGGTCCCCTCCTGCCAGCCTGCTTGTGTTTTTACTACTACTGTGAAATCGGGGAGCAGGTGTTAGGGGGACTGTTGGTTCTTTACCCCGGCTCTCTGGAGTTCTCCACGCACTGGCTTGTGCTATGATGGAGGGCACACTGGGAGTCCAGCCAGGCCTGGCAGCATCCGCCTTGTCTTCCCGGGCCAGGGGGGACCAAGGCAGAGCATGTTGCTGCATGGGGTCTGCTGTCCCCAACAGGGGTCAGACTCCCTTGAGGCAGGACAGCAAAAGCTGCTCTGTCATAGGAGTTCCTCTCCCGTCCTGTCCTGCCACACAGCGCAAATGCAACTTTTGGGGTAAATAGCAGCCACCAAGGGTGTCCACCCCGGGGTTTCTCAATAGTGCTGTCCCCTTGGGGCTGCAGGGGCAAGCAGTGTCCTTCACAGCGGTCCACGTGTCGTCTTAACCCACGGTGTCTTCTGTCCCGAGTTCAGGGTCCTCACTGAACTTATTACTTGGGAAGACCCGAAATCTGCCCCGCAGTGTGGATGCAGAGGGGCCTTCCGGGACACCAAGAATTCCTCCTTCACAAAGGAATTGTACCATCCCTTCCCAAACACAACTCTAAAAAACATGTTAAATGGACAGAAAATGAGCAGATGCTGGTCCCTGGCTATCCGCTGTCCAGGGGCCTGGAGGGAGGATCGGGTCTGGGGTTGCAGTTGGCGAGCTGGTCGGGTGTAAGGAACGGCTGGAAAGAGGGTCAGCTCTGAGCAAGGGATGTGCTGGACCCTCACCCGGTGTTGTGAAGGCTGGTCCGACTCCTGCCTCCTTGCTGGAGGCTCCAGGAAGCCTGGAGTCCTTGGCACACGCACACGTTTGCACGATTGCTTTGGGCTCTGGGGAGGGGACAAGTGAGACCTGTCTGTAAGTTCTTTGCAGTTGATTTATGCAAGCCGTGTCAAGTACCTTTGCAACTCTGTTGCTATTTTCTGGTATTTTCTGGTACTTGCTCTTTTCGGTGACATCACTTTGCTGCTTAACCCTGGGTGATGATTTGACATCTTGCTTTTCAGGGTGCTATGGTAGAGAAGAAGATTCTAGCAAAGGTACACAGCAGGTTTATAGTCTCTCTGGCCTATGCATTTGAAACCAAAACTGACCTCTGTCTGGTGATGACTATCATGAATGGAGGCGACATAAGGTAAATGGGGGAGCTGGGGCTAGGAGGGTTCGAGCAGTCAAGCTTGGTGAGGGGTCTCGGGGGCCCAGGGGGCTGCCCACATGTGCAGAGAACATGGTAACACCAGGGAGAAGCCCTGGGCCCCCATCAACATGCTCCTCTGTCCCCGGGTTGCTGACACTCGAGGTGGTGTGTCCTTAGTCTTACATGAAATGCGGGGCCATGGGGAGGTTGGCCCATGGCTCTCTAGTTGCTGGGGGACCTCCAGTCCCTGGGGACCTGGGGTTGTGTGGCTGCATGGGGGTGGAGGTGCCAGGGGCGTGAGGCGCCAGGGGTGAGTGCTAGCTGGGTGGACAGATGAATGAAGGGTGGGTGGGGGCCCAGTTGGGGGCATTGCATTATGACCTGCTCTTGGGGATGATAGCAGAGCTGGAAACACGACGTGGCCAACTTTGGGAACCATGGCTTTGGTCAGTGGATCCGGTCCCTGGGGAGGTTTGAGGGCCCAGCCCTGGGCTCCTGGGGGATGTCAGACCACTGACTCTCAGTGGGGAAACCCGGGCGGTCAGACCGCTCTCGCCTCTGTGTGCTGGTCTGTAAAACGGGGATAAAGAATAATCCTGGTGTTCTTGGGGCATAGTGAAGAGTACATTAATATGTGTACGAAACCTGAGAGAGTGTCCTATGTCACACAAGCGGGGCCCCTGCTGTTGGTGTTACGCACAAGCCCTCTGCTGCGTTCTTCCTGCTGGATTCGTCCCCACTGCAGCTCTGTCAGGTGTTTGTTGGCCCCGTTTTCCAGGTGGGAATTCTGAGGCTACATGGAAGAGGAGAGAAGAGGCTAGGAAGTGCACACAACATGACTTAAAGGGAGCAAAGATGATCATGACACTGTCCTATACTACACCATACTACACCATGCCGCAGCGTGCTGAGGTATATTATGGTGTATGTTACTTCGTAGTACTACACTTGGCCAGACTACGCTGCATCGCCCCGTACCAGACCGTACGCACCATAGCACGGTACGCGGTATGACGTGCCGCTCTGGAGGATGCTAGTAACACGTCCCGTGGGATGACCCGACACGACGCCACACTGTAAGGCTGCGCTGCTCTATGCGATACGCAGCAGCCCCTGCTGTGCTGCTTCTGCTGCACGGAGCCCACACCGTCCCGCGCTCTGCTGCGTTACGCCACGCTCTGCGTGCTGTGCTACTCTGGAGCGCGCTGTCCCTTAGTCCGCACTGGGCCGCAGTGGCCCATTCCGTATCCCTGCACCCTGTGTGCCGTGTCTCACCAGACCGCCCCACACCGCACTGCCTTGTCCTCTGGACACCGGGTGCGCTGCTTACGTCTGGCACCCTCCGCCACCCCAACCCCGTTGCCCTGCTCTCCTGGGGTGTCTTGCCCTACACGCCTCGGACTACGCTGAACTGCGTCTGCTGCACCACATGGTACTATAGTAAAAACGTAATACCAAAGCCGTTTATCTCGTCATCACGGCTGATCTGAGGTCTTCTCTCCTGCTTTCTTGGCCCGCCTCTTGCCGCCTGGTCTCTGGTATAAATAGTCGGTTTCTTTTATTCAGTAGGTGTTACTTTTCTGTAGAATGTAATAGTGGGAAAGATGAGAAAGCACAGTCCCAGGGCAGGAGGGAAGCTGGAAGGAAACCACGGCGGGCCCACCCAGGAGTCCGTGTGCTCGGAGCCAGTATGCTTCCCCGGACACCGTGTTGACTGCTTGTGGTGGGGGTGACTCGGGCCGCTTGCCCGGGCTTCCTTCCTCGCCCTCTGCCCTGCCTCCTTTGGCTGGCGATGCTGAAATGGCTTCAGGGTCCATTTCCTAGCCGGTGCAGGCAAGGGTCAGGGAGGTGGGGAGCGCAGTGTGCTCTTCCCTCCTGCTCCTCTCCTAACGGTTGTGGTGGAGGGTCTGTGAGGGCACATACACCAGCTGCCAGGGGCTCTTGGTACTGCTGCAGGCCTTCCCGCTGATGCCGAGGCCCCACAACGACCAGACTCTCCGCCAGTACAGCATGGGGTCCTGAGGCCCTCACTGTTCCCTGAGATTTTACTTCCCATGGACCCGTGGGCACCCTGCTCACTGTGCCAGAGAAGCATGGCCTCTGTGTGGTCTGGCCCCAGGTACCACATCTACAACGTGAATGAGCAGAACCCTGGCTTCCAGGAGCCCCGCGCTGTCTTCTACACGGCCCAGATCGTCAGCGGCCTGGAGCACCTGCATCAGAGGGGTATTGTCTACCGAGACCTCAAGCCTGAGAACGTACTTCTGGACGACGACGGTGAGGTGGCCTCCCCTCTCAGGTGCCCCTCACCCAGTCTCCCCCACTCCCCATTTCTCCTCCTCCCAGCCTCCCCTCCTGGCTTCCTCCTGCCCAGACTCCCCTGGCCAGGCTCTCCTCCGTGGCCCGGGGGATCTTCGGTAGGAGGATAGGCTGGTTCCTCTTTCTGCCTTTTGAGGGATTCTCATCAGAAGGTAGCAGAGATCTAGGTTTTCTTTATGTCCCTTGGACACCCTCCCTTTGTCACTAAGTCATGCAAATGTGGGGCATTCTTGAAACGTTTTTGGGTGGATTGTGCCTCCATTCACAGTGGTGGGTGCTGCTGGGGCCCCTCTGTCCCTCTGCAGTCTGGCTGGGAGGGCAGAGGCCTCAGGGCCCTGGGGTGGGCGTGTGCTGCACATGCGTGTTCTTGGGCACGTGTGTGTGTGTGTGCAGAGGCTGCCTTTGGCTCCTGCAGGCTCAGGGAACACCAGGTGCCTTTGTTCTGCGGGGCTGCGTGTGACCTCAGCCCATGTTTGTTTTCAGGCAATATCCGAATTTCTGACCTTGGGCTGGCTGTGGAGCTGAAGGACGGGCAGACCAAGACCAAGGGCTATGCGGGCACCCCAGGTTAGCACCTGAGATCAAGGGTGGGGGCAGCCTCTTTTGCAGGGGGCAGGGAGCGAGGCCATAGGGGTCCTTGGGGGTCCCCATCCCTCATAGCAAGTAGTAGAACCACTGGGTGTGGCCAGTGGATGTGCCTGGCAGCTGACACCCACTGGCAGGGGTGATCCCTCCCACCTTTTGGTTCTGGAGTCCACCGCCTCTGTGATGGGAGCTTCTGCCTTCCGTGGCTTCCTGGACATTGGCAGAGTGTGTTTGTCCGGAGTGCCCAGCCCTGTTGGTTGGAACCCCGAGGATCTGCAGTGGATCACCAGCTGTACCCTCAGCTGTACTAACACCGCCCCGAAGGTGGGCAGCCTGGGAGCTGTGAGGGCTACCCGGCCCCCACCGGCATGTGGCCAGGGCCTTTGCTGTTCAGGGGAGTCCAGGGTGGGCTGTGGGGCAGGTGGGGGTGGCCCTGCAGGAGGGGGGCTGCCCGTGTCCAGTATGTGTGCGTGTGTGGGTGCGTGCACATGTGTGTCTGTGTGTGCATGTGTGTGTGCATGCACAACATGTTCTGCTGCCCCCCTCCTCCACTCAGCCCAGGCAGGGAGGGAAGAAGCCCTGCAGACAACAGAGGGGACCCTCCAGAGTTGGGGTGGACACAGCAGGCAGCCCGGCCTGCAGGGGGAGCTCAGTGCCACAATGCTGCCTCTGGTCCGCGGGCACCTGGGGGTCAGTCCCCTGCCCCTCCATGTTCTGGAAGGTCCAGGGATTCTCAGCAAATCCTTCCCTGGGTTGATTTGGCTTTGAGGAGAAACTGCTGCCACTGGGATTTGGGGCCACTTGGACCTTGTTTTGTGTCCCCGGATCCTCCTGTCCTGTGCTCTGGGCCCTTTTTGGGTTTGTCCCTGCGGCTCTGTCCTCATCTGTGGCTACATTTAGGGAAGGTCCTTCCTATCTGAGTTTTCCAGATCCTTGTCCAGAATCTATGAAGTTCCTGCTCTGAGTGCGACCATGTGAGTGGAAACAGTCCTCACACATTTTAGGGTGATTCAAATCATTAGGAGAAAGCCCCAGAGAATAAGGCACCACAGGCTGGATTCCAAGTAGGCCGACTCTGAGTGTGTGGGCCCTGTCGGCCGCCAGAGGGCCCCCCAGGTTTTGCTGTGGCCACTGCCTTTCTCTGAGCAGAGGAAGCAGAGGATGCATCTTTTGAGCATTTGGGGTCAGGTGCAGGGTGTGACCTGCAAAGAGACGCAGCAGATGGGAACGTTAGGATATAGGTTGGGGTGCAGCGTACTGTGTCCCTCTCCCTGGCCTCTCTGTACCCTGCCTGCTGGAGCCCCTGGAGCCAAGCCCCTGCACACAGTCAGTGAGCCACGATCAGGCACAGAGGGGCTGTGAGTTTCCAGCCCGGACATGGGGCTGGGGCCACGTGAGGAGGAATTAATAACTAGACTGAGGAGTGTTCACTCACTCATTCACCCGCTCACTCATCTGCTCACTCACTCACTCACCCACTTATCTGCTCACTCACTCATTCACTCACCTGCTCACTCACCTGCTCACTCACTCATTCACCTGCTCACTCACCTGCTCACTCACTCATTCACCCGCTCACTCACATGCTCACTCACTCACTCACCCACTCACCTGCTCACTCACTCACTCACTCACCTGCTCACTCACTCATTCACCTGCTCACTCACCTGCTCACTCACTCATTCACCCGCTCACTCACATGCTCACTCACTCACTCACCCACTCACCTGCTCACTCACTCACTCACTCACCTGCTCACTCATTCACTCACTCACCCACTCACCAGATCACTCACTCACCCACTCACCGGATCACTCACTCACCCACTCACTGGATCACTCACTCACCCACTCGTTCACTCACCCACTCACTGGATCACTCACCCACTCACCTGTGCACTCACTCACCCACTCACCAGATCACTCACTCACTCACCTGCTCACTCACTCATTCACCTGCTCACTCACTCATTCACCCGCTCACTCACATGCTCACTCACTCACTCACCCACTCACCTGCTCACTCACTCACCTGCTCACTCACTCATTCACTCACTCACCCACTCACCTGCTCACTCACTCACTCACCTGCTCACTCATTCACTCACCCACTCACCAGATCACTCACTCACCCACTCACTGGATCACTCACTCACCCACTCGTTCACTCACCCAATCACTGGATCACTCACCCACTCACCTGTGCACTCACTCACCCACTCACCAGATCACTCACTCACTTACCTGCTCACTCACTCATTCACTCACTCACCCACTCACCTGCTCACTCACTCACTCACTCACCTGCTCACTCATTCACTCACTCACCTGATCACCCACTCACTCACTCACTCACTCATCTGCTCACCCACTCACCTGCTCACTCACTCACTCACTTATCTGCTCACTCACTCATTCACTCACCTGCTCACTCACCTGCTTACTCATTCACTCACCCACTCACCAGATCACTCACTCACCCACTCACTGGATCACTCACTCACCCACTCGTTCACTCACCCAATCACTGGATCACTCACCCACTCACCTGTGCACTCACTCACCCACTCACCAGATCACTCACTCACTTACCTGCTCACTCACTCATTCACTCACTCACCCACTCACCTGCTCACTCACTCACTCACTCACCTGCTCACTCATTCACTCACTCACCTGATCACCCACTCACTCACTCATCTGCTCACCCACTCACCTGCTCACTCACTCACTCACTTATCTGCTCACTCACTCATTCACTCACCTGCTCACTCACCTGCTTACTCATTCACTCACTCACCCACTCACCTGCTCACTTACTCATTCACCTGCTCACTCACCTGCTCACTCACTCATTCACCCGCTCACTCACATGCTCACTCACTCACTCACCCACTCACCTGCTCACTCACTCATTCACTCACTCACCCACTCACCGGATCACTCACTCATTCACCTGCTCACTCATTCACTCACTCACCCACTCACCTGCTCACTCACTCACTGGCTCACTCATTCACTCGTTCACTCACGCATTCACTTACTCATTCCCTCACTCCCTCATGCACTCAGTCACTCACCTGCTCGTTCAGGTGACAAACGTTTACTGGTGCTTACTTTGTCCCAGGTGTCATTAGGTCCTCGGGATACAAAACGATGTGTTACCCAGATTGAGTTGGAGAGCAGACCAGAGGCGCCACTGGGGTGTTTGCTGCAGAAATGGATCCCCTCCCTGCGGCCTGCTGTGCCTTTCTCCCAGACCCTGTTTTAATCTAGAAGTGGTAGGCTGTTAAATATGTCTTTCTTACAGCACCTGAGCCATCTGAACAATAGTGCCATTCCTGGAAAGTGGGACCTACAAAGGGGTGAAGGGATGCCAGGGCCAGGAGGGTCTATGGAATTTCACACGGGCAGCCTCTACGGGGAGAAGTGAGTCTGTGGTCACATCAGCTTGACTGCTGTTGCTGAGCACATCCCCTCTTGGAGACTGGCTGTGAGCATGGTGTATCAGGGCCAGGAGGGACCAGAAATCAGCAGACACATTAGCGCTCCTTCCTCGGAGCGTCTGGAGCCGTCAGGCACGGAGGCCGCCCGTGCCCAGCCCGTAACACCTACCCCTGGTCCCAGGGCGCTGGACCGCGGGCCCCAGCGACTGGCCCGTCCGCCCTTCCCACACGCGGCTGGCTCCGAACAGTGGCAGTGAGGGAGTGGAGGCCCGGAATGTGCTTTCAGGGGTGCGGGGCTCCCCGCCCGAATGTGGCACAGATCTGGCAGTGGTGGGCGTCTGGGCTGCTCTTTGGGGTGTGTGGGCGTAAACGGGTCCTTCCGTGCCCTTTCAGGAAGGGGCCTGACCACACACGCCCGTGACGCCGCGGGTCACCATTGTGCCCGCCTGCCGTGGCGTGCCCCCGGGGAGATGGACCTTCCCCGCTTACGTGAGGCAGCGTGCTGCTTAGCCAGGGGCAGTTTTGCCCGAAAGAGACGCTCAGCAATGTCTGGAAGCATTTTGGGGTGCGACAACTGGGGGCGCCAAGTATCGGTGTGGCCGGGATGCTGCTCCCCACTGCGTGGTGCACAGGGCAGCCCCACCACAGAAGGGACAGGGCGAGGAGCCCACGGCCGTGCGTGTGGTGCTGTGTGTCCCGCGCCTGCCCGGGCAGGGCACGTGCTCCCCACCAGGCCCTGCGTCTGACTGAGTCTGTGCGCCGTTCTTGCCCGGCAGGTTTCATGGCCCCCGAGCTGTTGCGGGGCGAGGAGTACGACTTCTCGGTGGACTACTTCGCCCTGGGCGTCACGCTGTATGAGATGATCGCAGCCAGAGGACCCTTCCGTGCCCGAGGAGAGAAGGTAGGAGGGCACTCAGCATGTGTCCGGCAGCCGCCCTGTGACCACCCTCCGTGTGGCGGCCGCTGTTCAGGCCTAGAGCACGAGGCTTCTCGTGGTAAATCCTTCTGGGCAGGAGGGGGGACACGGTGTCCTCATCTCATGGAGCCTCCCACAGTAAGATGCGTTTCAGGACCAGCCGTGCCTGGACCTCCCCAAACCCACCCCCACGAGCAGCCCGCAGCAACCCCCCCGACCAAGCCAGTCCCTCCCCCGGTTCGTGCTTCTACTGCAGGCCAGCGAGCCCTCCGTCTGGCCCGTCAGCCTTTCTGAATAGGGGGCAGTGGGCATCGCATCGCTGTGCCCTCAGCCCGGGGCCCCATGCCCTCCTCCGCACCGTCTGCCCCAGAGTCTAGTGGGGGGTGCTCCTGCTATGGCCCCCAGGGCCACAAATACAGGTTCACCTTGGAGACCTCTCGGGTCCAGCTCAGACCACCGTAATAAGGCAGATGCCGCGGTCAAGCGAGTCAAATGAACTTCTTGGTTTCCTGGTGCTCATAACAGTTACGTTTACAGCAAGCTGGAGTCTCCTGAGTGCGCAGTGGCCGTGTGTCGAAAAAATCGTCCACGTACCTTGATTAACAAACACTTGATAGCCAACCGTCCTCAGGGTTTTCAGTGAGTTGTGATCACTGGCCGCAGATCACCGTAACAATTGTAGTAATAATGAACACGTTTGAAATACTGTGAGAATCTCCAGAATGTGACAGAGACATGAAGTGAGCGCGGGACAGACTCGCTCGAGGCAGGGTTGCCGCAAACCTTCCATTTGTGAAAGACGCCGTTTTCTCGAAGCACAATGAAGAGGTGTGCCCATAGACGGCATCTGGGGGCCTCATCTGCTGTTCAGATCAAACGGAGCAAAGCCAGCCTCTTCTCGCCGCTCAGGTGCCGGCGGCTCCGAGGCACGGCGGTCGGCCGGGCGTGAGGGAACCAGGGCCGAGGGGGCATCGCGGGGCCGTGCAAACAGTAGTCTTTAGACGCACCGGAGGTCACGCCCTTCACTTTCTTCTGCGGGGCCTCCTAGTGTGTCCATCCGCAGGCCCACTCCGGTCCTGGGACAGCTGGGAGAACAAACCACGTCCCCGGTCTTCCGAGAGCAGAGGGCCTCACACGGCTAACACGTAGCTTGCCGTGTCTCTGCACGTCCGCCCTGACTCTGCTCACCTGCTCTCTCTCCTGACTTGCAACCTCTCGGAAGAACAAGATGAGGCAACGTGGTGTGGGACCGTGCGTAGGGGCCTGGCCTCGGGCCGCGGGAGAGGCCCCAGCGCAGAGCGCTCACTGACCACGGCCTGACCAGAACCCCGGTTTTCTGTGTGTGAATGAGCCTGATGGGCTCAGGCAAGAAGCACATGGCGGCCCACCGTGGCTCCTTGTCTCACGGCCCGCGGGAGGGCGAGTGTCAGGCCCGGAGAGGAACCGTGGGTGGGCCCGTTGCTGTGCAATTTTAGGAAAGGCAAATTTAGGAAAGGTGAGCGCAGACAGCCAGTGTTCCCCGAGCCGCGGTGGAGATGGGCTGCAAAGGGCACAGGGTGCATCTGGGGTCCTCGTGGGGCTCCTTGCTGACTGTCCAGGCCCTTCACCCCCGTGACTGGGAACGGGCTTCTGTGGTATGTAGATTATACTCCGTAAAGCGGACGCAATCAGGCACCACAGACTGGCCGTTAGTACCCATCAGGAGACCTGTGCCCGCTCGGTCTATAAAGTCGGCTCTTTGTCACGTTTCCTGTTCTCTCCAGGGGGTAAGGGGTGGTCCCGTCAATGCGCCCAGGCCCCGACCAGAGCTCCCCGGGCCCCACACCCCACCCCTGACCAGCACCGCCAGGACTTCGCTCCTCGGACTGCAGATCCTAAGCCCTTTACGTGCTCATGTGCTGGGGGGCGGGGGGACACACACTCAGGGCCCGCGCCACCTCCGCCCCTCACCACCTCTGCCCCTCACCTCTGCTCCTCACCTCCAGCCCTCACCTCCGCCCCTCACCTCCGCCTTCACTTCCGCCCCTCACCACCTCTGCCGTCACCTCCACCCCTCACCTCCATCCCTCACCTCCACCCCTCACCTCCACCCCTCACTTCCATCCCTCACCTCCGCCTTCACCTCCACCCCTCACCTCCTCCCCTCACCACTGCCCCTCACCTCTGTTCCTCACCTCTGCCTTCACCTCTGTCCCTCACCTCTGCCGTTTCCTCCACCCCTCATCTCCGCCCCTCACCTCCATCCCTCACCTCTGCCATCACCTCCACCCCTCACCTCCATCCCTCACCTCCACCCCTCACCTCTGCCGTCATCTCCATCCCTCACCTCCGCCTTCACCTCCATCCCTCACCTCCACCCCTCACCACTGCCCCTCACCTCCATCCCTCACCTCTACCTTCACCTCCACCCCTCACCTCTGCCCCTCACCTCCGCCCCTCACTTCCGCCTTCACCTCCGCCCACCACCTCCGCCCCTCACCTCTACCCCTCACATCCGCCCCTCACCTCCACTCCTCACCTCCGTGGTTACCTCCACCCGCCACCCCGCCAATCACCTCTGCCCCTCACCTCCGCCATCACCTCCACCCACCACCTCCGCCCCTCACCTCTGCCCCTCACCTCCACCCCTCACCTCCGTGGTTACCTCCACCCGTTGCCCCGCCCATCACCTCTGCCCCTCACCTCCACCATCACCTCCACCCACCACCTCTGCCCCCACCTCTGCCCCTCACCACCACCCCTCACCTCCGCTGTCACCTCCACCTGCCACCTCTGCTCCCACCTGCACCCCTCACCTCCATCCCTCACCTCCACCCACCACCTCCGCCCGGTGTCTTCCCGGGAGGTGGGCAGGCCAAGCCGGGCACAGACCTCTGTGGGCTCAGCGGGCTTCACGTGACGTGGCGTATCCTGCTGTGTAGGTGGAGAACAAGGAGCTCAAGCAGAGGATCCTCTCCGAGGTGGTCAAGTACCCGGACAAGTTCAGCCAGGCCAGCAAGGACTTCTGCGAGGCGCTGCTGGAGAAGGACCCCGAGAAGCGCCTGGGGTTCAGAGACGGGACGTGTGATGGGCTCCGCGCCAACCCCCTCTTCAAGGACATTAACTGGAGACAGCTCGAGGCTGGTACGTCCACATGTCTTTGGACCTGGGGGGCTGTGGGGGAGGCGGGTCCATCGGGAGGTCCTTGCGCTCCACAATACCAGTAGAGCTCCCCGCCAGCCACCCTCCTGCCCCCGAGTAACCCCCTGTCTCCACGTCCTGTTGCCCCATGCCCCAGGCCTGGGTGTTAACATACAGGTTTCTTGGGCTGGTGGAGGCTGGGTGGGATGCGTGGGGGGCATGCTGCTTATCTTTGAACTGAGGATCCAAACCCGCTGCTGTGAATTTCTATGCCTGTACTTTTAAGGAGCCCCTGACCCGAGATTGTGCAGATTTCCTCCAGCTGTCTGCTCGGGAGAAACTTGTTCATTCAACCAGCCTGTGTTGTCAGGTGTTGCGTGCGGAACGCTGCACACAGATGCGTGTGTGTGGACATGGCCCCACCCCCAGAGCCTACAGGAGGCCGTGTGAACACGGGATTACCCGCAGGGGCCTGAGGAGAGAAGTTACACTTGCAGGGAAGGGGCTCTGCTGGGGAAGCCGGGAGCCGGAGAGGCTGGGGCCAGGGTGGGTCCCAAGGCCACTGCACGGGTCTGGCAGGATGCTCAGCCCAGGACCCGCATGGAAGGGAAGGGCACTAGGGCCGATGGGGATCACGTGGCACCAGGGCTCCTGAGCAGGTTGGGAGAGAAGCCAGCTTTTGAAAGAAAACAGGGAGCTCAGTCCACGAGGTGTCCCACCTGCAGATGATGAAGCCCCCGGGGAGGCCGGTGTGAGGACGCGGGTCAGACCACGCCATCCTTCGCGATGGGCCCCTGGGGAAGTGCATCCAGCCTGGAAGCTAAGGCCCTTGCGTCTTGCTCAGCGGGCCATGGGGCACCTGGAGACCTTTCTTGAGCCACCGGGACACCCTGGGCTGGGCAGCCCTGCTCACTGAGCACATGGCTGTTCCCTTCCATTCACGTGTTGTACATCCTGTGCTCTGTCTCCTCACAGGGATGCTGACACCTCCCTTTGTCCCGGACTCCAGGACGGTCTATGCCAAGAACATCCAGGACGTGGGCACCTTCTCCACCGTCAAGGGCGTGACCTTCGACAAAGTCGATACGGAGTTCTTCCAGGAATTCGCGACTGGCAACTGCCCCATTCCCTGGCAGGAGGAGATGATCGAGACGGGCGTGTTCGCGGAGCTGAATGTGTGGCGCTCTGATGGGCAGATGCCCGACGACATGAAGGGGGTTGCTGTGGAGGGGGCAGCCCCGGCGTCCAAGTCAGGGATGTGTCTGGTTTCCTAAATGTGCAGGAAAAGGGAGCTCTGTGGCCTGCAGGGAGAGCTCTGTGAGAGCACCCGTGTGAGTCGCTGGGTGCCCACAGCACTGTCAGGGGACAGGCAAGGAGTGGACAGGAGTCCAGCCCGTAAATAGTCCACTTCCTTTGCCCCATTCACTCAGACATAACAGTGGTTCCCAGATGGACTAGAGTGCCACGCACAGCTCAAGGACTCTTGTCGGCATCCCAGCCAGCAGCGGTGTCGGCCGCCGGGGTGAAGGGCTGCTCATACCAGAGGATGCTCCGTGTGTGTTTCCAGAGCCCTGCCCTCAGTGGGAGGCCTTCTCCTGGCTGGCTCGGGTTGGCAAACCATGGCCCGTGGGCTCGCGGCCACCAGCAGAGAGGCCTGGGTTGTGCCCAGCTTCTGGCCCCCGAGCCGGTCACCATCTACATGCTGGTGATGCTGGGATCTGCCAGGTGCTGAATGGCGCAGGCTCCAAGGGGTTGCCTTGCCTGGGGGGTGGGGAGAGTGACCACAGCAGTCTCCCCCTTGGCTTCTCTTTGTCCTGAGAACATCTCCAGCTGATGGCACCTGGCCCCGAAGCTGCCCACCTCCTGGGCAGACAGGTGTGCGGGAATTCTCTGTCCACCCCGAGCACCTGCTTACCACGTGACTCTGCCTCCCGGCAAAGCCCTTTCTCAAGCTCCTCTCCTGGGCAAGCTTGGGGCAGGCCGGCTGATGGCTGGGGACAGGCCGTCTCCGGATCCCCACCGGCAACAGCGCCTACAGTGGGGTCCTAACCCTTACACAGTGTGCCCTCCCTCTGGCCTGAAGCCCCAAGGCACCATCCTCACCAGCTCCCATGTTTCCAGCTTCACCTTAAGCCTCAAAGTTCCCCAAATGCTTTACACATTCGAACGGGAAGAACACAGTTTTTGTGGAGGGGCCTCTGACGATGTTCACTCCTACGTTGGGATTTGGTGGCGTTGGCCTGGGAATCCCATACTGCTCTGAGGGCTCCGGTAGGACCGAGCCCGGGGAGGAGCTGTGGTTTAGGGCCTGTGGAGTACTTTCCAGAAGGGTCTGTTCCTCTCCTAGGGAAGAACTTCTAAGTCCCTGCAGCTCACACATGTGTCGCGTGCTGGTCCAGGCAGAGGGCCACGTGATGGGACTGTGAGATGCCGGTTGCATGTGGGGATCATGTGGGAAGACGGTGTCATTTAACTATCTGGGGGGGTTGAAGTGGGGACCTGCAAGGGAGCACGAAAGACAGGGTCCTACCCCGTTCTAGTCCCTGGCTGGGCTCACAGCCTCCTTTCCCAGCTGCCTCAGGGTAGCCTACCCCGGGTGTGCGGGGTGTCCCTGCCCTCAGACTGTTAACCCCGGGTGTGCTGGGCACCCCTGCCCTCAGACCGTCAGCACCAAGTGTCAGCACAGAGTGTTTGTGGGGCCATTGCCCTCATCCCCGTGTGTTTGGGGCTGTGTTGCCGGCAGACGTCCGCATGTGGTCCGCTCCCCCCACCCTCGGGAACAGGGGGTCTGCAGCCCACAGCCCTGGAGGGTCGCTGCTCGGGACCCCCCTCCTGCTTGGTGCAGGGCCGTGCAGGGCGACGCCATGTCCCCAGCCTCATGTGTGGCACACGGTTGTTCGGGGTGCAGTGGCCAGCGGGGGGTGGAGAGAATCGTGTGTTCTTCAGAAGATGTTATGCATGTGAAGCCTCTGCCTTGAAAGCACCCTTGGACCAGAAAGATCCTTGTGTCCTGGCCGTGCGCATGGCCCACCAGAGGCAAAGAATGCTCTGGATGGGCCTGGAGAGGCGTCCAGTGCTTTCTGGCGTGTGACCTGGAAGTGCCCCTTGGCATGTCCCTGCAGGCGACCCAGGACCAGGGACAAGCTGCTGCGCCCCCCTAAACCAGGACGGTGCACATTGACTAGGTAACGGCCAACGTGTCACTTCTCTACATTTTGGAGCAAGAAAGACCTGTTTCTGTCTCTTCTAAACCCATAGAATCTGTTCTAGTCCCCCCTGGACTGAGTGATTCCAGCAGCCATGTTGGTGGAGGTCTGCCCTCCCCGCCAGCCTGGAGCCCCAGCGTCCGGCCTCGGGGCCCTGTCTGCCTGGACCACCAGATAAAACAGGGTGTCAGGTGCATCTGGATTTCAGATGAACAGCAAATACTGTTTTTAGTGTGTGTCCCAAATATCGCAGGGGCTGCACGTAGACTCAAATTATTCAGTGTGGTTTGCTGGATCTGCTGTGCCCGTTGCAGATTATAGATGTCACGTGTCAGTAAGTAGCTGGTTATTCCACTGAACTAGCAGGTCTGGTGGACGTAACCATGACTTCGGCCGTCTCTCAGTCTGTCCAGAAGCCCCAGCGCCCCTACCCCCTGCTCCTCCAACTAGAGGCGACCCTGCACACACTTTAACGGTCTCAAGGCGCTAATGTGAGATGCCCAGCATGCGTGGACATTGCCGCTCCTATGGGATGCTCCCAACCCCCCCCCGAGCGCTCCTGGGGGTCCAGTCGGGGGGATGGTCAGTGCTTGGGGGTTTCTTCACTCTCTCAGGGGATCTCTGCTATGGGTGGTCTTCCAGGCACAGCCCCCCGACCTGGCACAGTCCCAGGGGTCTGGCTGTCCCACACTCATGAGAGTCCTCCCCTCAGCTGTGGCCTGGGTCCAGGGGACACACCGCCTGTCCTGGACGCTCAGCCTCGGGAGGCCGTCAGGACCTTTGGGTTGCCTGCTGGCTTGTCTCTGGCTTGGGGGCTGTCCACACCAGGCCTAAGGGGAGGTCCCCTGCAGAGAAGCCTTCCTCACTGCCCCTACCGTCCTGCACACCACAGCCACCAACAGTCTTCAGAAACCAGCCCCGACACCCCCAGAGGGTGGCTGGCCTCAGCCACTTGGGCGTCTTCGGCCCTGGCCACAGCCCGGCGAGAATCACCTTCGTGGTGGGGGGATTGTCCAGACATGCACCGTGGTGGCCAGGCAGCAGAGGGACCCTGGAGATACTGGGATCAAAAGGACTCAGTGCGACTTCTTGTTTGTAAAAAACAAAAAATGCAGTTTCTATTCAAGCAGAAAAAGGCAAAAATAAAAGGTAAACAGGATGGATTCTGGATTATGATTATGAATGCTAGTTATGTTCTTTCAAAGTCACACACATGTCTATGCACATACATGTACACAGCTGTGCAGACACACGTGTGCACACCTGCACATACACTTGCACACCTGCAGATACACACGTACACACGCACACACATGCACATACACACACGTGCATATACACTTGCACACATGCTCCTATACACACATGCATACACGTGCACACACGCGTGCACATTGGTACACACATGTACACATGCACACACAGGTACGCACGCGTATATACACTTGCACACATGCTCATATACACACGTGCATACACACGTGCAGACACACACACACAAATCTGCCTCTCATCTCTCTATGACTATCATTTTAAAAATTGCTCGCAGTGCCCCTCTTTGTCAGACTGAATTCCCAGGCCCCTGGATTTGCACACCTCCCCCTGGGCCCCTATCATGGTGCCTTGTGTGGCTTTAGTCTGCTACTCATGGTGGTTAGAGTGTTTACAGGTGTAGTCCTCTCCTTTCCACACAGCTGTTGGAGACCCTGCTTAAGCAGTGGTATTGTGGCCGCCCCGGACAGAGGTGGACCAAAGGCCATGCGGGGCGGTGCTGAGGGACACAGTGGCTGACAGAGGCGGGGCAGGACGAGCGCACTGCGTGCAGGGAAGTGCAGGTGCCAAGCGTTGTATGAGACGCTGCAGAAAAGCATGGGGGCCACGTCTTTCTCCTGTCTGGACTCTGCTGTCCACCTGTCGCGTGCCCCTTGCATGCCACGCTGTGCCCACGTCTATGACAGGTGCTGAGACGCCCGTCCACCTGGGCATGCACATACTTCCTCCATGGCCATGGATGACCCAGCACCCGCCGTAAATTAGGTCAGATCCTTTTTCTGCTCGTCCCCACGCAGGGCCCTAGGAGCCTGGGATGAAGAGGGCTTCAGATCAGCGGGGAGGACGTGGGGGTCAGCGGGGCTGTCGTGGGGGCTCGTGGCAGCTGGTCTGGCTGTCCTTACTCCTGTGGGTCCCACCGGCAGCACTGTCCTTGACGGTCACTCTGCCCTTGCAGGGCAGGCCGGAGCGGGATTGCACGTCACCCAGAGGCCGGGAGCGTAAGCCACCTCCCCATTTCAGGACAGCACGAAGCCAGCTCTGGTTCTGGGCATGGTGGGCTCTCGTCCTCCCCCCGCGGCACCGGCGAGGGCGGTGTGCAGGACACACCTAGGGAGGCTGAGGCTGGAGAGGAGGAAGCCGCTGGCTGGCCCAGACCGAGGAGGACACCCCCTGCCTCCCGGGACCCAGGCCAGGCACCAGAGAGGCTGCCATGGGCACAGAGGAAAGCGGCCCCGGGAGGAGGGGCCCTCCAGCCGCAAGGGACCCCCACAGCCCAGTGCCAGCATGCCAGCAAGGCTGAGTGGGTCCTGGACCTCCACCCTCCCTCAGCTGTGACAAGGCGCTGCGTCCCCGCACAGTGCGGTGCTGAGGCGTGGGGGCTGAGCTTTCGTCCCCGCCCGCGGGAACGAGTCCCTCCCATCCTTCTCCCTGCGTCCCCCCGGTGTGGACGGCGGTCAAGGAAATAGTGAGCTGGTGCCGCTCCCCGTGGGCACTGTGTTGGGGGACAGCTGCCCAGATGGGTCCGTCCAGGGAGAGCCAGGGTCGCTAACACGGCACCAGAGGCCCAGGGCGCAGCGGACAGTCACTCACACACCAAGACGCAGGAAGGACGTCTGGAGCTGGCCCCACATGGCACAGACGCTGGGACGACCCCACAGGGCTTGGAGTGCACGGCAGGGAGCGCTCGCAGGACAGCTGGGGTGCCGACCGGGGTGCCGACGGACGCCCGCCCAGAACAGCTCGTCGACGCCTGTGCTGGGCTTCCTAAGCTGCCCTCACGGCCAGCGCGTGTGCACTTATCCACGGTCTTCCTGGATTAGCTTCCTGGATAGGAGTGCTCGGCTGACGAGCTCAGCCTCCCGGGCTCCTCCTCCCCACCAGGGTGGCCGGCGCACACGCAGGCGACAGGCCAGGCCAGGGACAGCAGAACGGCCTGCAAGGCAGACCTCAATTTGAAAATGTGGAATGAAACCTAAATATGAGTTGGGTGTGCAGGCACCAACCCGACCACATAAGATGAAGACAAGAGGCTTGCTCTGAGTTGGTGAAAACCAAACCTCAGTCCCAGTTACAGTGGAAAAGAGGTGTTTCCAAGGTCAGCCTTCTTCCTCCAGGATCAACAGTTGAGAGCAGGGGCCAGGGTGTGGCGCACGGCGTAGCGAGGGTTAGGCATGTGGGGCGCTGCAGGTCGTCCTGGCCCCATGCTCATCGTGCCAGTCCCCTGGTGCAGCCCTCGACTCCAGGGAAGCCTGGGGGCACTGTCCTTCCCCTGCATGCCCTGACTGTTGAGTGTGCGCCGCGGGCATGGGGGCCTGCGGGGGGCGCGTGCCACGACCGAGTATTGAGTGTGCGCCGCGGGCATGGGGGCACGCTCTCCCGTCCGCAGGCCGGGGTCCAGGCTGCAGAGACGTGCACTTTGCAGAGCCTGTGGTTGCTGAATCCAAGGTGGGAAAGGCACTCCTGCTCCAGGGAATCATGGGGGGCTTCATGCTTCTGGGGGTGGGTGGCGTGTGAGCACAAGGACCTTGAAACGGGAGACATCGAGGACGCAGCTGAGCCTTCCTGCTTGGGCTCCTTGGAGAGATCATGTTACAAGCCCTTCTGGCAAAGCCCAGACAGTATTTTTAATTTAAAAAATTCATGTCTCTGAGAACGTGTCCTATCCCATCCCACCTCACCCGTGAGGACAGGCAGGGACTGCCACCTGCCATCTGTCCGGTTGCCCGTCTACATTATTTATTCCCCGAGCTTCATTTCAAGGTCATTTGGTTACAGGAGGGAGTCATGTTTTGCAGTCTGCTCTCCACTCCCTGGAGATCAAGAGCCAGGCTGCATGCACATGCGTGCCCCCTGCCCAGGCTCGTGCTTCTGGAACAAACCCTAAGAAACAGACTATGTCTGTGGATGACTAAGGTGGATCCTGGTTAATTTTTGTTTCTTCTAATCCTGCTCTTTTTGGAGCTGGAAGTGCCCTTATCCTCATCCTCTGAGCCCTCCAGCCCCTATCTGCTTAAATAAACTGGTTTTCCCGCCAATCAGACCGATGTGACGGGTGTCCAGCAAGTTCTGCTGCTGAAGACGGGCCCCGAAGGCGAGGTGCAGCAAGGGGAGGAATTATGTGACCAGCCTGCGCCCCGACCTTGCGGGAAGCAGGTGCTAACTACTGTTTGGAAGTCAGGTTTACGCAGCCTTCCCTCAACAGCTGTTAATCGAGTGCCTGCCTCGAGACGGACGCTTCTCCAAGCAAACCTTTGTCCTGCGTGAACATATTTCCTAGTAGAACCAGCATGTACCACGGTCAACCCTGCCCCACTGCTTCACACCCTGCTTTTGTCCAAAAGAATCAAAGCTTTTGGTTCTTGGACCTTCGGAAGGCTGGTTCCCTGGAGCAGAAGCCTGGCCGGGCCCCATGGCTGTAATGCGGGGCCTTCCGTGGGTTTCTCCTCCTTGGGTGGCCTGGTCAGGTATTTTCAACTCACTCTGACCATAATTCAAGATACTAAATTCTGAATTCTTCTTCTACTTCCTTCCCTGATCAGGATCAGTGGCTTCAGGGAGGAGGCCTGTGGCAGGAGGGACGGGCAGAAATCCCCACGTCTTTTCCATCTTGGATCCTCCAGGGCCTGGCCCGGAAAGTGGAGAGGCAGTAAGAAGGGAGTGTGGGGAGGCGGCCAGTCCCCCCAGCAGGACGGACACGGCCCCACTGCCGGCACCCACCCTCCCACTGTGTCTCGGGGACAGTTTCGGGGGCTGATGGCCAGATGTGCGCGGGCCCCTGTCCCCATTTGCACGTGTGTGTGCACACGTGTACGAGTGTGTGCGTGCGTGGGGCCCCCAGGACGAGGGCTCCTGCTGGGAAGTCAGGAGAGGAGGGGAAGTGTCATGTGGTCCAGAATCATGGTGACGATGGGCTCCCGCCCTCCAACATGGCTTCACTCTGGAGCTCTCCCCAGCCCGGCTCGGTCCTCAGGCCTGACACACCCTGCCTCCTCCCGGCACCACGTGGACCCCTGGGCCACCAGCCTCCTGTCTGTCCTGGAGGCAGGCCTTCCCAGGAAGCTCAGTGTCCCGGGCCCGGTGCCCGCGGGGCCGGGCTGTGCTGGCCGTCAGGGAGCCTGGGGTCCGGGCTGGGCCCGTCCGCGGGCCCCTTGTTAGTGCTGCAGTCTGGTGACCGCTCGGACCGCTCTCCAGGCTGACGGCGTGCTTCAGCCCTGCCTCTCGCGTGTAGCCGCAGTGTTCTGAACGCACCGGTCTGCGTGGCTCTAAGCAGAGGGACTTCAAGAAACATTCGTTGGTGTGTGAATGAAAGATTAAGTGTCTGCAGTCAGGTCAATACATGCTTCCCCATCGGGAGGATAATCGGGCTGACTTGGTTTAGATCTGGCTTCTGCCACCGAGCAGATACTTGACTTTGGGAAAATTACTTAAATTCTCGGGGCCTGTTTCTTCATCTGTGAAACGATATTATAGAGATTCAGTAAGGCCACGGGTGAGAGGCAGCGGCCACGGGGCGGGGGGTGTGGGGCCACGGCGGCTCCGGCCGGGGCGCTCCAGGAGACTCGGCTGTGTCTGGGCCACGCTGGGACCCGTGGCCGTGTGGGGGACGTCAGGCGGGAGACTGAGGGCGGGTCGCCCAGGGCAGGAGGAGAGTTGCTGTCACAGGTGTTTCACACGTGGTCTGTTTTCCCTCCCAAGAGTGATTTTATTCTATGCGCTGCTTTATAAAACCCTGCAGATGTCATAACTGTTAACGTAACAATTCAGCAAACTGTGGTCAGCTGGTGTGGTTTGCTGAGCTTGTTGGCAAAGGAAGGGAAATGCCAAACCTTGTCAATGCTGTTCTTTCGCTGCCCCGGAGCGCAAAGGAGACTCTTCATCGGGGTCAGAAAACCCGCACGGCGCTTCCCTGACGGTCGGCAGATCCATCTGACGCGTCCAAACTGGAGTCCACGACTGGGGCTGCCACCCTGGAGGGGCTCCCCCGCTCCAGCCCCCGCGTCGGAGGGTTTGGTCCTTTCACATTCGAACACTGGGCTCGTGCTTCCCGCCGCCGTACCTTCCACACGTGGTCTCTTCTCGCTGAGGTCGAACGTCCTCACGCTACTTTAAGACATAGCGGTTCCAACACGAGGTGCTCGCCCCCCGCCCTTGACGCGTGAGCACGAGGCCGAGGGAGGTGTGTTGAGCGGGCGGAGCTGAAGGCTCGTGGGAACTTGTTCTAACGGCAACAGCCGCAACATGAGCAGCTTTGAGCCTTGGAACTCTGACTTACTAGCGACCGAGGTTTCCGGTGCGTGCGTGTGTGTTTAAAGATTTTATTTATTGATTTGAGAGAAAGAGCGAGCCCAAGCAGGGGGAGCGGGAGAGGGAGAAGCAAGCTTCCGGCTGAGCAGGGAGCCCGATGCGGGCTCGATCCCAGGATCCTGGGATCATGATCTGAGCCGAAGGCAGAGGCTCAACTTACTGAGCCACCCAGGTGCCATGTGTGGTTCCCAGTCTTCACCTGAGTTCCCTCATTCACATGTTAGCAGCTCAGTGCCAGGCTTTAGTCCCCCGCATGAAAGACACTGAAATGACAGGCAAGGAAGCGGTGCCGCATGTCCTGGGGGGCATGGGCAGCAGAGAAGACACAGAAGATAGAATGCTCTGCGCGACCCCCAGGGTCCCCGCGTGCCCCCCATAACCCCACATGGGGTCCCCGTGTACCCTCCATGCACCCCCTCCCTGGGACCCCACACCCCCCCATGACCTCCCAGGACCCTGCGCACCATCTACGAATACCCCCCAGATCCCGTGCACCCTCCATGGACACCCCAGGGACCCTGTGCACCCCCCATGCACCCCTTCCCCGGGACCCCACACACCCCACCCATGGACTCCTCCAGAGACCCTGTGTGCCCCCATGCACCCCCTCCCTGGGGACCACGTGCACCCTCATGAACACCCCCCAGATCCCATGCACCCTCCATGGACACCCCAGGGACTCCATGCACCCCCATGAGCCCCCTCCCTGGGGACCCCACCTTCCTACCGTTGGGCTTTGTTCTGCTGTCTTGCTCCTTTTGGTGAAGGTAATCTGTCCCCAGTCACCCTCTTCCAGTGAAATCCACTGAAATCTGGGACCACGGCGGCCAAACCCTGGCACAGTCCGGCGCCTTTTCCTGTCATGTGATTTATCTTTCAGTGACTTTCCAAACTCTGCATTCGTCTGCAGGATGCTTTCATAGCATCTCTCCCGTCAACGGTATTGTTAACAGCCAACGAGTCTTTGCTAATTCACGGCCCGAGTCTTCCTGTACCTTGTTCAGCTGCGTGCGCCTGTTACCTTCCTGTGGTCATCGTCGCCCCAGCTGCTCTTGACGTCCCCGTCCTCGCCTTCCCAGCGGGTCTTCTGTGGAGGGCGCGCCCATGCCCTGGGACTCAGAGCCCTGCTGGGTGTGAGTGTGTGTCTACGTTATCTTCTTAATGTCAATACTGATTTGTCCAGTCCCTCTGATTATCTTCAGACCGGAAGAGGACAGATTTCCTCTTAATTGTCTTAGCAAGAGCTAAATTAAATTACACTTAAAAAATCCCTGATCCCAGACCGGTGCTCTCTGCAGAGGTCGGCTTGCTACGGGCCCCTGTGTCAGGTCGAGGCGGGTAAACCTGTTGTCAGTTGGCGCCATGGGCATGGGCAATGATGCACCTGTCACACTGGGCGGGGAGGGGGTCCAAGGAATGAATTCTAAGCAGGGTCCCTCCCTGCAGTGACGCGTGTAGGCTTTGGAGGAATTCTGGATCTGCTCTTGGTCACACACTTAACCTCCTGGGACCTCGGTTTCCCCATCTGTGAAACGGGATGAGCACGGGCATTGTCTGAGGCTGCCATGATGTGGACGGGGCGGGCGGTCCGGGTGCTGCTACACCCTCCACCTGGCCCGGGGACCCTCCTGCACCCTCGCTGGCTCCCCAGGCCCAGTCTGCTTCCCCGGGCACTGGCGTCCGAATGGCGGCCGACAGCCACGGCCCCTGTGGAGTGCTGGCCTGCGTCACAAACGCTGCACCCCACAATTCTGAGTCTGGTGTTGAGGTCGAGCTCAGGGTCCCGGACTTAAAACACAGCTTTTGGTGATGGGAGCGGACAGCCTGGGTTCAGACAGCCGGCTCTTAGGCGCGTCCTTCAGGAGGGAGGGTGGGGTCCTTGCCGTCGAAGTGACTGCCCCACCGCCAAGGATTCGCCAACCGCGTGGGGGCAAAGAGGGACAACACTGTTTCTGGTGACATTCCCCTAATTACCAGGGAGGCTGGGTGCCTTTCACGCTGGCTGGTGGTCTGGGCGCTCCGCCATCAGGTGGCTGCTCTGACAGTTTAAAAATGGCCCTAGTGGTCTTTGCAAGACCCTCTCCTTGCCGCCATGCGAGGCAACGGGTCCTGGGACGCTCCTCCGGCCGCTCCCATCCTAACCCGGGGTTCACTCAGCGCCAGAGTGATGGGGGCGGGGGTGAGCGGTGGGGTGCGGTGGTGCCCTGCATTCGCGCTTTCATCCATGCGTTCATTCATTCAAGGGGCACGGAGTTTCAGCGTCTGCCGCTCGGGTCGCGGAGCAGAAGCAGCTGCAGGAGCCCCGCGGGGCAGGTGGGCCGACTGGGAGCCGAGTGCAGCCTCCCCACACGCATCCCACCCTCCGCAGCCTGCGGCCTGGGGGCACCGACCAGGAATCCTGGAGGACTTCCCAGCTGGTCTGCCTCCGGGCCTCAGCCTCCTACACCGGTGCAGTGTGGGACCAGGGCGGGCAGGGCAGGAAGGGAGTGTAGGTGGGAGGGGGGCGGTCCCCACAGGGAAGGGGCGGGGCTCGGGGCCGCTGATCCTCCCTGATCCACATCAGACCTGTGACCCTCCCGGGATGCAGCTGCCGGTGCCTGGGCCCCTGGCCCTGCTGGACACAACAGGTGAGCGGGGCACCAGCATCCCAGAGCAGGCCATGGGCTGGGGTCCCGGGCAGGGTCCACAGCTCCTGTCTGCCGCCGTGCGGCTGCACCTTTGGGACCCTTTGTCCTGACACGGGTGGTCTCCCTGCACACCTCTCTGACTCCCTGTCTCCCCGTCTGTTGCCATGGACCCCGCCCTCCGCCTCCCCTGCCCCAGCTCAGGCATTTCTAGACCTTGTTTCAACGGACAGGGCTGCTTCCCATAGTTTGGGCTCTGTTCCAACCCCCCACATCCTTCTGCCCCACAAGTTCCCGGAACCCCGGGTCTTTTGGCCAGACCAGATGCAGCCTGGAGGAGGCTCAAGGGCCAGAATGAGGAGGGTGTGTTTTGCTGACGGGGATCAGGGAAGATTCTGAAAGGAACGGAGAGTGAGGCCAGCCGCGCCTCCTGCGCTCCCTGCCGGGGGACCCTGCCAAACCTGGGCGTGCACCTCTGGGCTGCCTGCAGCATCTTTGGAACGTCTCTTATTAAAAACCAGAGGAGTTAATGTTGCTTGATTTGCAAATAATGATCGAAGAACCCGGCTTCTTCCTTGAAAGGAACAGAAGCACACCCCCCACCCTCTAAAGCACAGCGCCTGCGTCCCCGTGTTTTCATCCTCCAGAAACGGATTGCTTATTTGTGGACGATGAGAATGAGGTCTGTACTAACTGGTTGTTGTTATGTTATTATACTGCAATGATTGGTGGTTTAAAAAGCACTTTGTCTTTCCTTCTGACGAATTACACCAAGAGTTGGTCACTTACACAAAAGTATAAACAGTAGTGTAGCTGGGGGTCTTACGGGCACTTTCTACTTCACATTTCTGCAGTCAGCACCTTGCATGTCACACCTATAAAATCAGGAGACAGGAAGCGGATGGCTGAGTCGCACGGTTCTGCCCCAGTCTCTTTCCCAGGGGCGTCACGTTGCCTCTGGGGCCAGGTGTTCCCACGCGATGAAGCGAGCGCGTTCTTCTCTCTGGGAGGCCATGACCTGGGACGCTTCCAAGCTGCAGCACCCAGTCTGGGGACGGGATCTGCTCCGTCCGGATGTGGCCAGGCTTTCCCAGGAGCTGTGGCAGGCAGAGGGCTGCGGATGGGTGCAGGGCAGGGGCGCAGGGGTAACGGGGAGATGCCGCCGTGGCCTTCAGCGTCGCCCCTCAAACTCCTCTCCCAATGGGAGGAAAGCCAGTTAGGAGCACCTGCCACCCATCTGAATGTCCACTCCACCCACGAGGAATAGGTTGACTACGCTCACTATGCCCAGAACTCACGCATGTCCTCTTGTTGGCCCTTAGAGCAGTTAAGAGGTGGGTAATGCAGCTGGCTGTCACCCCCTCCCTGTCCAGATCAGGAAACAGGTCTGCTGTCATCTGAGCCAGGTGTGGGGTCCAGTGGCAAGCAGGGCACACAGGCCCTGCTCCACGGGCTTCCCCTCCGGGCAGCTGGAGACCCCATGGCCGGTCTGGGGTATACCCGACTGTATAGATTTTAGTTAACAGTCCAGACACATCATTTGTAACAACACACATGCTAACAGTTCTGCGTAGGAGGTAGGAGGATTGGGGGGGCGGTCCAGGGGGCTCTGGGGGCCTTCCTCCAGTGCAGGACCCATTTGTCTCCAAAACCTGATCTAAGAATGCATGTCTTAGGGTAATTATAAAGATGCCCTACCTTCCTTCCTCGAGTTTCTTTCTCGTTCCCTTATTTTTATGCCATGTCCTGTGTTTATAAAGAGTATTTAAGGTCAGGAGTCTCCTCCTTGTTACCTGTGTTGTGCTTGGAGTGAGGACACTGCAGCTGGTCAGCGCCACCGCTGTCCTTCTGGGCCTCCGGTTAACCTGTCACGGAAATGCTGACAGCGCAGCATCTCCTTGAGCCGGAGCCTCAGAGGGAAGGCCAGACCGGGAGAAAGTGACGGAATGGGACACAGGAAGATTTACATGACCCCAAAGGAGACGTGCTTAGTTTTTTGCTCTGTGATCAGCGTGTGAGAGCGTCACTAAGGGATCCGAGCAGGGCTTCCTGCCAGGCAGGTGCCCCTGAGGGACTGAGAGATAGGACCACGGGAGGCTGTGCTCTGGAGGAAGCAGACGCCGAGGCATCTGGCTGATGGTTTGGGGCATAAGATGTGCGATGCACTAAATGAGGAAAAATAGCAACAGAAAGTCCTTTGAGGAGGAGGGCATTTGTGTGAGCTCGCAGGATGACTTACTTCTGCGTGTGGAGGGACCCCAGTCACGGGTGCTGTAACTTGACTTGCCGTTGAGCTTTGCTCACAGGACCGCAGACCTGTAAATTCAGACACAAACCGTCCGGAGCGTGAACATGAGTGCGTGCAGTGACCGAGCCTGAGGTTGCCGTCACGTGCGTGGCTGCCTCCCCCGCTAAACACACGTGATGTTGATTGAAGAACTTTGGTGCACGATGAAGCTCCCCATTTTTCTTTCATCCTGATTTTGTCTTGGAGTCACAGGGATCCAGATGGTTAAGCTTCCACAAAAGCAAGACCCAGCAGCCTGGTTGGACTCAGCATGGACTCTTGCCTTGTCCTTCCCCGGCCTCTGTTGTGTGGCCACTGATGAGGTGGGAGTGGGAGACTGTGCATGAACGGTCCTGTAAATGAAGCCTCCCTGCCTTCCCCGAGACACACCACAGGGCAGACCGTTAGATGAACGAGAAACCCAGAAGTCAAGACTTGACGGAGGGACAGACAATGGGAAGGTCTCCTTTCTGGCTGCTTTCTTGAGTTCTGGGACACCTAGAATTACGTTTGCCCACAAAGACTGGGACATCCAAAGCAGCAACTGTAGTCCAGAGACTTTATTCTGCTACTTAAGTTTGGAGGTAGACAACCCAGGCCTGTCTTTCTGCTCTGCCATTCTGCAAGTGTGGCTTCCAGTCACAAGGTTCCCTCACGGCCCAAAATGGCTGCTGGGGCTCCGTCTTTCTGCTCACATTCCAGGCAGCAGAAAGGCTGACAAGGAGAAAGGCAGAGGGACAGACTCCTCCAAGAGATTTCCTGCAGGGCCTACTGAACATTTTTTGTTTTGATGGATGATAAATGGTCAGGCATGACCTCTGTTGTGGGTTGCCAGGGTGAAGGCTTTGGGGGACTCACAGACCAGGGTGGGCATTGGTTTTGGGGGTGAGCCCCAGTGGCACTGACGTCTCAGGCAAGAGGGCTGGAGCAGGGAAAAGACAGATTCCCACCTGCCTTCATGGGGCTCATTATGGGGGTCCGATATTGGGGTGGTAAACACTGGGGCAGTGGGGGCTGCAGGGGCGGCCAGGGGCTCCCGCTTCCATCTGCAGGACACGGAGGTGCGGGTGAGGCTGTGTGGGTGCGGACGAGTGTCCTTGAGGAAGGGCATCGAGGAGCTGGGTGGAAACCTTTCAGGTGGGCTGGCGGGTGAGGACGGGGCCCTGATTTCCTGCCCTGAGAAAGAAGTGTCCACGCACAAGGTGGTCTGGGGTCTTCCAGAGGCCGCTTCAGTCACCTGGGGAGGGAGTGGCCGGGGCAGGGAGCGCATGGGCTGGGACCGTGCTCTGACGCTTCCTCATTTGTCCTCCTTCTAGAAGGGTTTGCGAGGAGAAAGAAGACTTCCCTTTGGTTTGTGGGGTCTCTGCTCGTGATGTCTGCCTCCATCCTGACCATCGGCCTCGCCGCCACCACCAGGACAGAGAACGTGACCGTGGGGGGCTACTACCCAGGGATCATCGTGAGTGCTATTCCCCTCAGGGTCTGCTAGGAGAGTTGCGGGTGGTGACACCCTCCACCCCAGCTCGTGGGGTTGGAGGGTAAGACACGGGAGCTGCTGTGGGTGGTTGTGGTCGGCAGAATCTGCCCCAAGGCACCCGTGTCTTCTCCCGGGCCCTGTGGCTGTGGGGCTGGCCTCAGGAGGCGCCATCTCCTGCCTCGTGCAGCTGGGCCCGCCTGAGCGCAGGGCCCTTACAAATGCAAGGTGGCGGGCACAGGGTGGGAGCCTGAGACGGGGGAGGACGGGGGAGGCAGAGCACGCCCAGCCAGCGAGTGCGCCGGCCCTGGAGCAGGACAAATGCTGGCCCAGACTCGGCCCGGGGCCTCCAGGCGGAGCACGCTGACTGCACCGAGCCTGGCAGAAGGGACATGTGGCTTAATGCAGTCCTGCCAAGGCGCCCTAGCCGTGGTGGTGCTAATCAGTCTCTGTCCTGGGGGCGGCAGAAGAGGGGTCCTCCACGCCTCATATCAGATTGCGGGCAGTAGTGCCGCATGGTAAACGGGGTACTGAGATCTGGCAAGAAGTGCCACCCAAACTCAGAATTATCGAGGGGATTTTTCGAACTGTGTTGTCGACACAATAGAACTTGCTCCAAAGGCCCGCGCTGCACACGAGGCGTCTGTGGGATTGGCTCTGTCAGCTGGGATGCCCTTAAAATGCACCGGAACCCTGAGTTGCTGTCATAAATGCTAAATCCAGATATTTTTTAAAAGGAAGTTCATCTAATCACATTATTCTTATTAAAAGTATTACCAAGATCAGCAATAATATTGGTAACATTTTTAGCAAGGATGAAAAGGTGGCATTAAATATTTAAAAATGTTTCACATATATTTTTCGCTTCATCTTTATCTTAATACTTTATTTTTGGTTTTTTGTCTATGCTCTATAAATCTACATTGTCTACCTGTGTATTATTAATGAGTAAACACATAAAGAGTGCTGTGCAGGAAAGTTTTATCAGTAAAGTCTTAAGAGCTGCCAATATTCTGGGGGCCCCACCCTTCTGCCGTGGGTGGTGGGTGGTGGGGGACCCCGGACACGGTGTTGAGGGCAAGCTGCTGAGGGAGCCGGGCTCCGGGACCAGGCCAGGGTGGGACCCGCGTCAGCCCGCCGGCTCTGAAGATGAACCACGGAGGAAGAGATGAAATGCACAGGACAAGGGGGGTAAAAGTCAGCTGCGTGCAGAGGCCACGTCCGCAGAGTTGGTGGCAGAACGGCTCCTGGGAAGAAACTGGGGCTGGGGGGTCGAGCGCCCCACCCGTTGGAACGAGGGCGGGTGTTGGTGAACCCTAACACGTGCATTTTAACACAGCTAAGTGAGTGGGATTCTGACGCTTTTGCACTGAGGAGCTGGACTGTGATGTTTTGAAGGTGCACATGACGAAAACGTTCCTCTTCGTCCTTGAGAATGCTTAAATTATTGGTGCCCATCTCCACAGACACGGCTTCTGTAGTCATAAGCGGGTGTGACTTTTAGTGCGCTAAATTTGACACTGTGGCCTCGAGCGCCCACCACGGTGCCACTCTGTTGTCGGCGCCCCAAACTCAGACGCAAGCCCAACCGGCGGACGGGGCCCACCTGCCACCTGCCGCGAGCCACCTGCCACCTGCCGCGAGCCACCTGCCGTGAGCCGCCCAGCGCAGCTCCACCTTGTGGCCGCCCTGCGCAGCGTCGTCCCAGGGCGCCGGTCAAGCTGATGGACATTAGTGAGGAAAGTCTCCCGCCAGGTGGACACGCTCAGTGGAGGGGTCCTGGTGCCCCGCCCTGGATCCCTCGTTATGGGGCGAGCACAGCCAGGGTATGTTTCTCCAACAGCCCGCCTCCCTTCGTCCGGGGGGCTGGGAGCTGAGGCTTTCTCAAGGACAGGAAGACCCCCCTCGGCGTCCTCCCACTGCTGGAGCCTCCTTCCTACCTCTCCTCCCCTCCCCAAGGCTACCTGTCTGCCTGCTCACCTGAGTCCAAAGCTCACTTGTGATTGGTGTCGGCCGCGTCTGCGGGCGACTGACAACCCTTCTTCTGCATACTCTTGGTTCTGGTTTCCCAATATCTCACCTGAGGAGCCATCCCCTGACTCGGGCTTCAGACTGGTCCAGGAGAAGCATCGGGTGGGCCCCTCACCTGACGACCAGATGCAGAAGATGGGCTGTGAGTGCTCTGAGTCACTGTGAAGGTGCTGTCCCTCTGTGCTGGAGGTGAGGGGTACATGATACCCTCTTTTCTGTGATCAAGAGTTAAAATATTTGAACATGGAAGTTGAGACGAGTCATGTTTCAGCAACTTCTATTCCAATCACTGGCTTTGACTGAGCCCAAGAAGCCCACCCTAACGGGCATGAGCTTGTCGGCCACTTGGTGGTTAAGTTGGTAGGGGGAGGGGGCATTGGCCGGCTTTGCCTTTTGATAAGATGCCTCTAAGAGTGGCAGTGTCCTGCGCATTATTTGCTGTTAAAGACCAGCATTAAGCCTCAGGCATGCTAACCAGAGTGCTTTCTCCCTTGTTTTTCCTTCGGTCCAGCTGGGCTTTGGAGCTTTCTTAGGAATTATTGGCATCAACCTGGTGGAGAATAGAAGGCAAATGGTAAGAATGCACATTGCTTCTTTCAAATGTGGGGTAATAAGAGTGTTGCCCCTCACAGAGTATGTTATAGCTACAGCTGGTGTTCCTAGGAAAGCCCCCCACCCCAATCCAGCAACCTAGGATCAGGGCCCAGGTTCCCCAGGCTGTGCACTGCACGACTCTGGACTCGGGGCTTATGGGTGCCCTTCACAGTTGTGAAGTCTAAGTGAGCATTGCTTCTAGGATTGTAGGGTGCATCCTACAACCTAGCAGCTGAAGTTGAGACACAGGACGGAAGTTTAGGGAGTGGGGTGGGTTGGGGGTTAGGGAATTAAATAATGTGTAGGCTCTCCCAAGCTGGGAAGTGAGGGGAGGCCGATGGAAAAGCAGGAAGTGGAGACACGGGTGGATGAAGGACGCCAACTTTGATCCGTCTTCCGAACATGGTATCTTCATTAATGGTTTCTATTTGGCATCTGTTTGTCGATGCACCGTTTTGGGGATGAGCCTCCAAGAGCAGCCAGTTAATTTTCCAGTTCACGGGGGCAGTGAGTGTCGCATCTTGAGAGGTTTCAGAGGGGATCTGGGGCTGCGTGGCCGTTTCCGACTAGTCTCCAGCCCTGGCCTCTCGGGCTCTCATCCTAATTTTCCCCCCTACTTGCTACCACTCGCCCTGGGGCTTTCAGTGTGTGTGGGGGCTGCATGGATGGCCCTGCGTGTCCCCCGTTCCCTGGCTGACAGCAGAGGCCTGTGGCTGAGCTGCGGTGGCCACTGTCATAACCCACACTGAGAGGACGGCCCCCGGGGCAGAAGGAGTGAGGGGGACAGGTCCTGGGATGGGGCCGGGAGCGAGCAGGTTGAAGAGATTTGGGTTCTGGCAGAAACAAGTGTCTTCTCCCAAGTACTGGGAGGGTGTGCCCCTGCTCTGGGCCACTGGCCGTGACGAGGTGGACAGAGGGCTTCTGCCACATGTCCGGGCAGTGCGGGACCCCACCCTCCTTGCCTGGGGCGGGGGGGCTCATCCTTGGCCTCCTGCAGGCCCCTCTGCCCGGGAGTCTCTTGCAGGAGGGAGGTGGAGGCAGCCTTGCCCCCGAGTCTGCCCGAGGACGCCCCCCGGGAGGCAGGGCCTTTAAAGACTCTCACAGAGCTCTTTCTGGGCCCTCGCCTGAGTGGTATTTAAGGATCTTCAGTGGGAGAAACAGATTTCCTTCCATGCTTAACCACATTAAAGTGTAACTGTCCCCGGAAGAGGTCAGTGATTTAAAGCCGCACAAAGGGCCGGAGTGTGGAGAGAGGGTCCCAGCTGCGGCCCGGCTGCGCGAGGAGAAGCTGCGGCCCCCTGTCCGCTGTCCGGGGCGCTGCTGGCTCCCCAGGGCCTCTCTCCCTCGACGGTCCTGCTGATCGACTTCGGGTCTGGGCTGCGGTGGGCCAGGCTGCATCACTCATGTTCTCCCATTGCTTTATGGCCGAGTCGCGTTCTGGCGAAAGGATGGGCCACCGTTTGCAGATGGTCACTGGGGCCATTGCCATGTCGTGAACAGTGCCACTGCCCACATCTGAAGACACACGTTTCCGTTGGTAGGAGTGGGGCCACCGGGTCCTATGGCAGTCGTTGGCGGAAGCGTTGGCTCCGGGCTCTCCAAGCCCCCCGCACGCGTGCTCATCTGTCTGGCGGGCATGACACAGAATCTGCTTCCCTGATCATTTGTGACCTCGGGCTCCTCTTCACAGGCTTATTGGTCTTTTCCATCTCTTTTTGTAGACAAATGCCATTCAGATCCTCTGCTGATTTTTAAGTTGGGTGACTTGTCTTTGCATGACTGACTTGTCAGAGTCCTTTACGTGTCCCCCATCCAAGCCCTTTGTCAGATGCATGAGTTGCAAATATTCTCTCCTGTCTATGGGCTCTCTTCACCTTCGCCTTCTTGATGGCAGCTTTGAGGCACAGAGGTTTGCAGTTCCAGTGAAGCCCAGCTTGTGTATTCTCTCTCTCTCTCTTTTTTTTAAAGATTATTTATTTATTTGACAGAGAGAGACACAGTGAGAGAGGGAACACAAGGGGGAGAGGGAGAGGGAGAAGCAGGCTTCCCACCAAGCAGGGAGCCCGATGCGGGGCCTGATCCCAGGACCCTGGGATCATGACCTGAGCCGAAGGCAGACACTTAACGACTGAGCCACCCGGGCACCCCTGTGTATTCTCTTTTGTTGTTCGTGCTGTTGGTGCCATTTCTTTCTTTCTTTTCTTTTTTTAAGATTTATTTACTTATTTGAGAGAAAGCGAGAGCACGAGCATGAGTGGGAGGAGCAGAGGGAGAGGGAGAGAGAATCTCCAGCGGAGTGTGCGCTGAGCGCCGAGCCCAACGCGGGGCTTGATCTCCCAACTGGGAAGATCATGACCTGAGCCGAAACCAAGAGTGGGATGCTTAACCAACTGCGTCACCCAGGTGCCCCCATTGGTGTCGTTTCTAAGAATCCCATGCCAGCTCCAGGATCATGAAGACTCACCCCTATGTTTTCTGAGTTTCATCACTTACATGGAAGTCTTTGGTCCAATTTGAGCGAATGTTTGCATGTGGTGTGAGGTAGGGGTCCACCTTCTCCATGTGGCTGCTCACTTGGTAGGAAGTCTGGCTTTTCCCCACTGGATGGTCTCGATGCCCTTGTTGGTCGTCACTTGGCCCCACGTGTGTGCATCTGCTTTTGGGCTCTCAGTTCTGTCCTTTTTGTCCACAGGTCTGTCCTTGTGTCAGTGCACAGTGTCTCAATTACTGTTGCTTTGTAGTGAGTTTTGAAATCAGAACATGAGTCTTCCTGCTTTGTTCCTCTTTTTCAGGACTGTTCTGGTTATTCTCTGTCTTTGCAATTTCGTATGAGTTTTTAAATCAGCTTGCCAATTTCTGCAACGAGGTCAGCTGGGATTCTGATGGGCACTGTGCTCAATCTATGGATCAGTTTAGAGAGTGTTGCTGGCTTAACGAAGTTAAGTATCCTGACCCATGACTGTGGGATATGTTCCTATGTTTTCTAGAGCTATTTTCATTTCCCTCAACAATGTTTTGTTGTGCTAAGAGTCTATTTTGTGCTTCTTTTGCTAAGTGTATTCCTAAGTATTTTATTCTTTTGGAGGGTATTATGAATGGAATTGTCTCCCTAACTTCATTTTAGGAGTGTCCATTGCATGTGTGTAAAAATGCAATAGATTTTTCTGTTGATCTTATATCCTGTAGCTCTGTTGAACTCATTCTTTCATTTTGATAGTTTCTAGTAGATTCCTTAGGATTCTGCATCCATAAGATCATGTCACCTGCAAATAGAGATAGTTTTGCTTCTTCCTTCCCAATGTGGATGCAGGAGGTCTGTTTTGGAGGCTCTAGTAAGAGGAGAGCGATGTGGGGCCTGGCTCGCCCGCAAGCTTCCCTGTGCCCCAGACCAGAGCCTTCGGACGGGAGTTGTCTGTGACGCCTGGACTGTCTCAGTTCTCCTTGTCAGGAGACTAACTTTGTAGGATGAATGCATTCACTAACACTTTACTTGATGTTGATGGAGACCGAAGCCTGTGTCCACCACTAGGAGCGCTGTGATCTTGGGAAACTTACTCGACCCTTCTGGACCTCAGTTTCCTCATTCCCAGGGCTGCTGGAAGGGCCCGTGGGAGGAACCAGGCACCACACTGGCCCAGAGCAGTAGCCATGGCCAGACCCCGTTCTTAAGCACCCAGGCCTTCAGGAGGTTCGGGTTGCTTCGCGAGTCAGTAAATCGCAAGGTGAGAGAACGCATTTCACGTGCATCCAGATACGTAAGAATGCTTTCTTCTTTCTTGATTTCTTTTTAATTTCCTCTGATAGAAAATTTAAACATACGTGAAAGTTGGCAGAGGGGCTATTGACCTCATGGTCCTCTTATCTCCCACTCACTTCTTCCCTCCCCATGTTATTTAGAAGCAAATACCAGACATAGTACCATTTCGTCTATTAAAATTTACGGGGTAGAATCCGACTGTGACAAGTGGCTTCACCATCACGTCTGCCCATCTCTATGTTAGTCTCTTGTGACGTCCTAAGAATATGCCCCAAAGTGAGTCAGCTTTTCATATTTTTCTATTAATGGGGAGTTGCTGCCCTCTCCTTACCCGGACAGGTGCCTGACTCATCGATTTCACTACCAGCCCTGCCGTCCAGACGGCCCCGGAGGCGGCGGGGAGACACCAGGGGCCGAGAGCCGTGTCGAACTGCCTGTCTGCCCCCGTGTGTGTGTGAGACACACAGACAGACACAGACAGACACACAGACACACAAGCAGACACACAGACACAGACAGACAGACACACATACACACAGACACACAGACAGACACAGACACACACACAGACACAGACACACAGACACAGACAGACACACAGACACAGACAGACACAGACACACACACAGACCAGACAGACACAGACAGACACACAGACACAGACAGACACAGACACACAGATAGACACAGACAGACACACAGACAGACACACAAACACACACGCAGACACACAGACACACAGACACTCAGACAGACACACAGACACACAGACAGACACAGACAGACAGACACACACACAGACACACAGACACACACACAGACACACAGACACACACACACAGACACAGACACACACACAGACAGACACACAGACACAGACACACAGACAGACACAGACACACAGACACACGGACAGACACACAGACACAGACAGACACACAGACACACGCAGACACACAGACACACAGACAGACACAGACAGACACACAGAAGACAGACACACAGACACACGGACAGACACACGCAGACACACAGACAGACACGCAGACACACAGACAGACACACAGACACACGGACACAGACAGACACACAGACACACGCGGACACACGCAGACACACAGACAGACACACGGACAGACACACAGACACACGGACAGACACACAGACACACACATGCAGACACACAGACAGACAGACACGCAGACACACGGACATACAGCTGC